ACAACTAGTTTTTATATATTGGCCTTCTACCCAGCAATCTTGCTAAATTCACTTATTTCTTTTGGACTCTTTTATTATATACAGTTATGTCATCTGTGAATAAGGACAATATTATTTCTTCCTTTTTAGCGTTTATTCCTTTTATTTCTTCTTCTTGCATTTTTGTACTATCTGTGACCTCTAGTACCAGGTTAAAGAGAAATGATGAGAGGGAACAAAATTCATTCCCAGTCTCGGGAAGAAAGTTACCTTTATTTCACCATAAAGCATGATGTTTGCAGTAGGTTTTTGTTTGTTTTTGGTTTTGTTTTTGTTTTTTGTTTTTTTTTGGTAGACAACTAGTTTTTATATATTGGCCTTCTACCCAGCAATCTTGCTAAATTCACTTATTTCTTTTGGACTCTTTTATTATATACAGTTATGTCATCTGTGAATAAGGACAATATTATTTCTTCCTTTTTAGCGTTTATTCCTTTTATTTCTTCTTCTTGCATTTTTGTACTATCTGTGACCTCTAGTACCAGGTTAAAGAGAAATGATGAGAGGGAACAAAATTCATTCCCAGTCTCGGGAAGAAAGTTACCTTTATTTCACCATAAAGCATGATGTTTGCAGTAGGTTTTTGTTTGTTTTTGGTTTTGTTTTTGTTTTTTGTTTTTTTTTGGTAGATATCCTTTATCAAATGCACACAATTCCTTCTTTTCTAATGTCCTAAGAATATATTATGAGCGAATGTTGAATTTTATGAAATGTATTGATAGTATAACACTTTCTCCTTTACTTGTTAATGCACTGACATTATAGTAATTCATTTTTTGTTTTGCTTATACTTTGGATTATAGTCCAATAGTATTCAATTAATTTTGTCCTTCAGATAGTTTTACTTTTGACCATTGGGAACTGTTTCATTTGTCTCCTGTGTCCTGTTGACATACCCCCATCACATTGGGATTGGTTTATTTTGTGTATACTTTCTCACTTTCTGGAACTATGTAATACTTTAGACTCATCTTATATATGTTCTGTCCCAGCCTTAGAATTAACCATTTCTACAGGGAGTCCTGGTTCCTTTTACTGGAGAACATTATACACACTAAGATTTGAATGTGAGGTGTGTAATCTTTACTGCTGGGGTGTTGTTGCTTTTAATCACTTTCAGCTGGCAGAGGAAGGCAATAGGTGTATATATACTAGCTGTCTATATACACTTATGGAGAAATACTTCAGTATGTAACTTTGTATCTATATTAAGCTGAACATGAGTTCATACTGGAATTTTCTAACTCTAATGCATTAGGCAGGCATGGCTCATTCTAGTCTCCTCTGTTTACTGATCTATAAATTCCTACTCTAGCAATAAGAAACGTGACTTCTGTTCTGCCTTGTTTATTTAATTTTTCAGTTCCCAGTGTGTGTTACTGGAATTGTAGTAACTCATGCACAGATGTATCAGACTTAATGCATAAGTACATGGGAAACAACTTTCTAAACTTACATATAGTTTATAAACCAGCATACAGTGTTTATATGCAAGTGGTTTTGTCTTTAGCCTTGCACTCATTTCCAAAGTTACTTATTTAACATCTTTTCCATGCATCCCCTTCTATGAGGTTGTTTCCCAGCTTCTAAATGGTGTTTTAAAGGTTGCATATGTTAGGATTCTCTTTGTGCTATCCTGTTTTATAGGTTTTGACAAATGCATACTGTTGTGAATCTACCACTGCAGTATCATACAGAATACTTTCACTACCCTCAAAAATTTCCCTACGTTGACTTATTCAGCCCTCTCTTCTCCTTCCCTCTGCATCCTTGTTTAACCACTGATCTCTACTGTTTTCACTTTCACTACAGTTTTGCCTTTTCCAGAATGTCATATAATTAAGATCGTACAGTATGTAGCCTTTTCAGACTGGTTTCTTTCACTTAGGAAGATGCAGTAAGGTCCATCCATGTCTTTTTGTCGCTGCTCATTTCCTCATTGCTGACTTAATATCCTGTTGTATGGATGTACCACGATTCTTTGCATCCATTCACCAATTGGAGGACATTTTGGTTGCTTTCACTTTTTGGCGATTATGAATAGAGCTGCTATAAACATTCGTGTGCAGGATGTTATAGGTGCATACTTTTAAAGTTTGATTTGGTTAATACCTTGTTTAACTGATTGCTGATTGTATTGGTAAGACTATTTAGCTTTGTATCTGCTAAACTGCCCTCCAAAATGACTATGCCATTTACATTTCTTCCAGCAATAAGTGAGAGTTTCTGTCGTTCCATATCCCATATGCATTTGGTATCATCAGTTTTTTGGATTCTAGCCATTATAATAGGTCTCTCTCTCTTTTTTAAAATTTGCAATTACCTAATGATATGTAAGACTGAGGATCTTGTATGATTATTGTTATATGTATGTCTTTTTGGTGAGATGAATGTTCAGATATTTGCCTATTTCTTAATTGGCTGGGTTTTTTTTTTTCTTGCTCTTGTAAGAATTATTTGTATATTTTGGGAACAAGTCTTTTATTCAATATGTATTTTTGTAAATATTCTTTCCCAGTCTGTGAACTGTTTTTTCATTCTCTTGACATGTCTTTTTTTTAGAAAAGAAGTTTTAAATTTTAATGATATACAACTTATTTTTTAAAAATTTGATAATGCTCTGATATTATCTAAAAACTCATAGGTAAACCTGGGGAAGCAGAGAGATAGTTGCCTAGCTGAACAAAATATGTGGGAGGGGGTGTGGGGGGAGAGAAAATAAAAATCTAGCGTTTAGCAGCTCCTACATGGACTTTGAAATAATCATCCTTATTTCAACCCCCTTGGCCTTACCCCTTAGCCTTTCATAAGCATTAGAGGCCCTTCATTTCTGGACTTATCTTGCGGCTGTTTGTTTCCTCTTAAATGGGCAGATAAAATTAGCCTGTCTCTGCTTTGCTAGGTTGGTTTTCACTTAATCATCTGCTTTCCATCTTCCAAAACTTTGTTGATACTTTCTGTCATGTGGAATCCCCTCTAATTCATTTTGCCCTGTTGAGTGTATATGGTTTTTAATCATTTACTTTCATTTTAGTGATGTTTAAACAAAAGAAATAAAGATGACATGCATTTAATCTGCCATATTTTACAAGCCGAATCCTAATTTTTTTTTTTGACTAATCTATTTTTATTTTTTAAACAAAACATCTTATTGGCAACTATATGAGATCAAAGCCCTGGGAATAATGACTAAATCTGTAATAAATTTCTTTGTCTTCATTTTTTACTGATTTTATTATGTAACCATTATAAGCATCTAAGATAGTCATTGACGGAGATTATTTCAGGTTGATTTCTCTCCCCAAATGGTACTTTGTTAAAAATAAACTATTAGGGAGAATATCATGAGACACATTGTAAGAATATGAACATAAGGCAAACTTATTTTTTGTAGGGAAAAAGTATTTGGGGAAAATGCATTATCTTATATTTGGGAATATACTGTAGATAGATGATAGCACTGGACCAGTAGGGAAGATAAGTTAGTGGAGAAATAGCTAAGATAAGATAAGTATGGTAAGTGTGTGTAAGAGATGTGAACAAAATATAAAAGATTCAGAAATAGACTTAACCATGACCTGTACCCCTTGGGATAAAAATACATTATATGTTTATAAAAAATAAAAAAAATAAAAAATTAAATTAAATTAAAAAAAAGAAATAGACTTAACCAGTGTTTTATGGATTTTTATTTTTAGGTGAAATATTAGATTATTTCAAAAGCTGGAGCCAAATGTAATGTTAAATAATGGCAACAGGTGACTTAAAAAGAAGCTTACGGAACCTAGAACAAGTTCTTCGTTCACTAAATTATCCTCAAGAGGTGGATTGTGTTGGGTGAGCTATATATCAAACTTATTTGTGTTCTTTTTGATAATGATTTGAATTAAGATTGGACATTAAGGGTGTATCTAAGTAGAGGCAAGTTTTACTGGATTGTTTAAAAAATTTTCCTTGAAATGATTAAAATGTTTTAGAAGGCAGGGAATTACAGGAGTTTTTTGCTAAGTATGAGTCAGTGAAAAATTCTAACTCAAGAGGTTTAAAACACCTTTTAGAAGTAGAACCACGAAATACAGCTGTACAAGGTATGGTTTCTATACAACTTTTAAACTCATTAAAGTATAATGGATCTCATTAATTATATAATTTGCTATCCTCTCACATTCAGTTAGATGGTATTTTTGATTCGGAAGATTCTAGTTGATGGGTTTCTTATGACAATTTACACCACACGCTAAGATTGTTATTAAGCTAACTCATTTAATAGACCCCACTTGAACCTTTCGCTATAGTTTTCACTTTCCAAATATGACTTACTTGCTTTTGTAGTATGTAGCAACTTGCATTTCTTCTATATTCATGCTGATCTAAATATGGTACTGTCATCATCTACCCCTTCATATTTCTTTTCTCTTCTTACCTAGGATTATTGATTAAAAGTATTCCCCACTATGGGGCGCCTGGGTGGCTCACTCGTTAAGCATCTGCCTTTGGCTCAGGTCATGATCCCAGGGTCCTGGGGTATGTCCGTCCAGCTCCCTGCTCAGCGGGAAGCCTTCTTCTCTCTCTCCCAATCTCCCTGCTTGTGTTCCCTCTCTTGCTGTGTCTCTCTCTGTCAAATAAAGTATTCCCCACTAGAATATAAGCTGAAGACTGGGACTTTGTTTTGTTCACCGTAGTATCCCCACATCTAGAATTGTGCCTTTAGAGCTAACTAGACATTCAATGAATAAGTGTCAAGGGACAAGTCCAGATTAGCTATATGTTCAAGTAGTAGAGTAAAATTGGTTAAAACAGTAAAAAAAGAGAATCTTAGAATAATGTGCTTTACGTGTAAGCGTGGATGTTCTAGGGATGTGCTTTACGTATACATGTGGATGGACCATAGGGAGAGCTAACCCCAAGAGATGGCAAAATGAAAGGATAATGAGGACCATGGGAGAAAGTTGAGCTCTAAAGACCAATTCCAGGCCTTCTGTGTGAGAATCAGAAGTTGCTCCACAGCATGTACCAATCATATCCTGCTTCCTTAACACAGGGAATGCTATGTTGTTGTCTCGCTGGGACTTAACCAGTTTGAATAGCCACATTTTCTTCTTCCTACTTGAAGCATCATTTTAAGATACATTCTGGATAGGAATACTTGGAAAATGTACCAATTATTCCCCTATCTTTTGAGTTTGGAATTTAATATTTGATTTTCTAGCTGACTCAGGAGTATCATTAAGAATAATAATTTTTAGACTGTTTCACAACATAGTACTCTGCAGGGTCTTTTGAAATAAGTCACACTACTTGCAGCTGCTTATTCAGGGTGCCTCCCTCACCCACAACACACTCTACCACACGTGTTTTGATTCTTATATTTCTTACTCATTTTTAACCTTTTTCTCAGCATCTCCTGTTAGTCTGCTAGTTTATAACTGTGTATTACTATTTCTAATCAAATTCCCTAGAAACTAGATAATCAAGATTTTTGAATTAAAACAAGTGGTATTAAATGTAGAACCCAGCTGTCTTCTAGTCATATTGTGCATAAAGTGGACAGATTTTGCTGTTCAAAAGTATTATTTTCATTTCCTGTTTTGAGCTAATACACAAGGTTGCTAGAATAGTTTTCTCATTGGGTAGAGTATTATCATATGCATAAATGTAAAAGAAACAATTATATTTGTCCTGAAAAATAAAATGTTATTTTATCATTGTATACTTGTTCTCTGCCTTTTAAAAAAGTTTCAGGTGAGGATGGGGAAATTTATGTATGTCTTGAATTTTGTGGAAAACGAATGTTTTCTGTAAGTGTATTTTTACTTCAGTCGAACACATATAACTGGCTAATTGAAGAAATACCTCCTTGCTTTGTTGTGGGAGAATCAGTGAAGATACTTCCCATTGAGAAAATAAGGTCCATATGTAGACAAGTAGAAAAGAGTATAAGACAGAGCCTAAGGCATCAGACACTGAATGCCCTGGGACTCATTCTGCGAGAGATCAGTGTGGATCAGAAAATTGAGGGTGGCTCTCTGGGAGGCTTGAGATCTGCCAAATAGCTCATAAGAGGGACTAATAGGCCAAGAAGAATGGGATACCTTTCTAGGCTGGAGAAATTAGCATACTCTACCAAGGCACAGATTTCTGCTGAGCTTGATACGTATCAAGTGGAGGATTGCTAACTAATCAGCCCAGTTGCAGTAGATGCCTTTTCCAGCCCTGTTTCCCCTCTGTAACGTAGAATTCATAATATTTTACCCTTGCAGGTTTATTATAAAGAGCAAATGAGGTAATGTAACAAGTGTTTGCAAGTATATTCAAGTGGTTTATTTGTTTAATTAGAGAAAATGGACTGATGAAGTAAGGCTAAGCTTTGGAAACTCAAATACTGTGGTAAATAGACTATACTATTACTAAAGAGCTAACTGCTTAAGTAAGTGAACTTATTTCATAGTAACTTGGCTATAGTGAGAGTAGGAGATGGAATCTAAAGGGTTTTGTGTATCTCCTAATTATTTGGCTGTAGTGTTAATTTACAAATTATTGACACCATATTTTATATTTCCTTTCTTATCTGAGTTTGTGGTATTATGCTCATTAAATATCTTTCCCTTTTCTCCCGAACAGTTTGGTAAAGGGAGATACAGCAGCATCTTTGCCCATCATTAGCTATTCCCTTACCTCATATTCACCTTATGTAGCAGAACTTCTGATGGAATCCAATATAGAGCTCATAGCGAAGAATGACTTGCGCTTTATAGATACCGTCTATAAGGTATTTTTGAGTTTATGAAATAATTCTTTCAGAAGTTATTGAATGATTTTTTAAAGAGTAATGTTTTATAACCCCTTAATTATATGTGAACCACATCTGTTTAACAGTATTTTGATATGTATTTCTCATTTAGACTCAGTCCCTATTATAATCAAGATAATTTAAGTTCCCATTATGTTTTATAATCTAATAAGTGGCAGTTGGTAAAAATTTGTCATTGGTTACCATTTGCTCTTTTTATATCAGAATTTTAGTAATATTTGGCATATTGGCAGAATTTAGAAATGTGACTTTATTGAGTAAAATTTGTAGTTTATAGAATTATGATTACTATAATTAGTAAGAGGAAACTACAACTTTGAGATTTTATGTTCATTGATGTCTGGGACCATGTCTTATATCTAGTCCAGTATCTACATCTATACTGTGTGTACACTGAACTTAATCTCACGATTAAAAAATACCTCCAGATTATCATTAATTTTTACTCAAGCACTGGTTTTCTCACTTCTGTTAAAATAATAAAATCCATTTATCAAATCTAATTTTTTTTAAATAACAAATTGCATTTGATGAAATGGTACCTTTTATGTGTAGAGTCTTTTTAGTCTTCCCTGTCTTTGCCTCTAACCCCAGCAAGCTTCCATGGGAACCTAAGAGGCACTTCTAAGAAATCCTAGGGTTCTACAATGTAGGCTTTGAAAAATGCTGGTCTACTCTATTTCTTTTGCTTTACAAATGAGACATTGAAACACAGAGACCTACTTACCATGTTGTGGAGGAATTAAATTATGATTTTTGTGACATCTGGCATGGTATTATTCTTTATTATCTAGTAAGTTAAGGAGTTTTTCTAGTACCAATGAGGCTATTTAAACTTTTTGATCATTGACTATATTTTTTCATCTTCCTAGATAATCATCTATTCTCTGCTGCTTCCTAACTAGCTGTTTTCTATGTAAATACCTATCTCCTACCTATGACTCATATCACCCTTATGAATCTCTTTAATACCCTTAATCTAATGGCTTGGTCCTTTTTTTCCTCTCAAAGATGTTATTACATTCCTGACTGGGTGGCCATTTATGATTTTTGGATTTTGGTCTATTCCCTCTTTACAGCTTCTTCGTGATCAATTTAATTATAAACCAATCTTGACAAAAAAGCAGTTTCTCCAGTGTGGATTTGCAGAATGGAAAATTCAAATTATTTGTGATATTTTGAATTGCGTGATGAAAAAGCACAAGGAATTGAGTAGTCTTGAGAAGGTAATTTTGTTAATTGATTTTAACTTACTCCAAGTAGCCCAGTATTTTAATGTATGAAGTCAGTACCCTAGATAGCAAACTAACACAGATGTACAATTACTGGATAACCGTACACCTGAATGTTTGCTTTAAATACTGGTCACTTGTTTTTACACATTTGTGACTTTGAGCTACTAGTCCTAAGCTAACTGTTCTGACAACACATTTTCTTCACAACTTAGTTTTCAAAAGACATGTATGTCTCATTAGTTTCTTATCATTTGGCAGTTGTATTTTATATATGAAAATTTAAATGATATAATTTAAATATATGTCAGCTTTCATATAAAATAAGTCTTAATATTTTATTTTTTTAAAGATTCCCTCACAACAGAGAAAGAAAGTCAGTTCTGTTAAGTCAGAACCTTCTTCAAGCACTGAGAAGACATCTACAGAACCTGTTGGCATTGACATCACTGGCAGGTTTATGACTTCAGGAAAGGTAGGAAAATAGAAAATGTGTCAGTGCTAAGAATTATCTACCTAATTAATCAGTGTATGAGTTTCACTTTTCTGACTAGTAGCTAGTAAAACATTTTAGTCAGGGGCGCCTGGGTGGCTCAGTGGGTTAAGCCTTTGCCTTCAGCTCAGGTCATGATCTCAGGGTCCTGGGTTCAAGCCCCTCATTGGGCTCTTTGCTCAGTGGGGGCCTGGTTCTCCCTCTCTCTCTGCCTGTCTCTCTGCCTACTTGTGATCTCTCTCTCTGTCAAACGGATAAATAAAATCTTTAAAAAATAATCAGATAGTAAAAGATTTTTAACAATGTATCCCATATTATCCAGAGGACAGTCCTCACATTATAAGAGGTTAGACATGTAAAATTGACGAATGTTTCTCTTTATGTTTCTAATGCTTACTTCTGTCTCATTGCCCAGGTAGAATAACAGTGATTTGGGAAGGTTATGTTATGTGGTCTTGACATGTACTCTTAATTATGTATCTAGTTTTTTGAAAACATGGGAGTGTTTGAAGAGCATACCATTACTTACAGTGATAGGTTATGATGATTCATTTGCATATGTTCATATTTTTATACCAGGAGTGTATATTATCCAGTGATTGATAGTCCCTACACATGTAATCTGGTTTTGGGTTAGGTTTTTGAACATTTTTTTTGTGTTAATAAATAACCTACCCTTGTCTCCTTCGAGCACTAGTGGATGAATGAGTTTAATGCCTTTAGAGATAGCTTTTCTATCTCCAAGAGACATTGAGGCCAAAATATTACTTTATAACAATTAGTATATTTTCAGCTGTCTTTCACTTTGGGCAAACCATTTCTGAAATTGAAGGATAGAATTATCAAATAATCAAGGTATAATTAGGTAAAAGATATGAATAGTTTCTGGTTGAGATAAAATCTAGAGAATTATTTCTCCCCAGTCAAAACTGCATGAGTTGTATTAATAGAATCTATTAAAAGTAGAATCTATTAAAAAATGACATTTTACTGGGGGAGAAATGTTCTTAATTACTTTTTTAAATATAACCATTTTGCAACATGTAAAAGAGCAATAAGAAAAGGAATTAAAAGACACATTGTTTCTGAATAAGTGCCCATACTTCTTGTAAACTTGAATCTCTAACTTATCTAACTCTTGTTAGTTTTATATGATTTTATTTTTTAATTTCTAAATGGTTTATATATAGTGTCCCTCCCTAACTAGGATTTATATGAACAGGAATTTTATTATTCAGCTTTTTTTGTAACCTTCCTGTGCTTAGCACAGGCACTGTAAGCACTTACTAAATATGAGCTGATAAAACTAAATATATTTTTCAGTCTTCTATTTCAGTTTTGGGGCTGAGTAATGATCTAAATTGCCCCAATAAGGTGCAAAACTTAAAGGCATTAAGTTTGTTTTAGTTTTCTTAGAACAAAGTATTCTTTGTCATTAATAAAAATTTATTTATTTATTTAAAAAGATTATTTATTTATTTGTCAGAGAGAGGGCGGGTGTGCACAAGCAGGCAGAGTGGCAGGCAGAGGCAGAGAGAGAAGCAGGCTCCCTGACGAGCAGGGAACCCGATGCAAGGCTCCATCCCAGCACCCTGGGATCATGACCTGAGCCAAAGGCAGCTGCTTAACCAACTGAGCCACCCAGGTTTCCCTATTAATCAAAATTTAATCAGTGCCACCAGATCTTTAATTAACAGAAATTTGAGTAAATTTTAAAAGTATTCCAACTTAGAAAAGTTGGAAATAAATAATCTTTCCAACTTAGAAAAGTTAGAGTCACTACTTTATGGGTAGAGATTGAGTCAATACTAAAGCAAATGGTTTCTTTTCCCAGTATCTTCTCTATAGAGTATGATTTGTGAATTCTTTTTTTTTTTTTTTTAAAGATTTTATTTATTTATTTGTCAGAGAGAGAGAGGGAGAGAGAGCAAGCACAGGCAGACAGAATCGCAGGCAGAGGCAGATGGAGAAGCAGGCTCCCTGATGAGCAAGGAGCCCGATGTGGGACTCGATCCCAGGACGCTGGGATCATGACCTGAGCCGAAGGCAGCTGCTTAACCAACTGAGCCACCCAGGTGTCCCTGATTTGTGAATTCTATCGTACATTATATGACATCTTTATAGTGCATATGCAGTGTTTCTGTAGTAGAGGAAGTAGGCAGAAAAGGCTTGTGTGAGTGCATAGTTTGACCTCATGCCTTACTCTTAGGACTTAGACTCTACTAAGTTTGAATTATTAGATGAAGGTCTAATATTTTCTGGCTTGTTTATTAGAAAAAAAATTGCAATGGTCCCCTTCATGGAGCCAGTTCTTGATTATTTATATGTAAATTATGTGGCAACCTATTATGGAATGTTCCAAACATTCATAAAAGTACTCATTCCCAGGGAGCCTAGATGGGTCAGTTGGTTAAGCATCTGCCTTGGGCTTGGGTCATGATCCCAAGTCCTGGGATTGAGCCCCACATCAGGCTTCCTGCTTAGCAGAAAGCCTTTCTCTTCCTCCCTCTGCTTGCTGCTCCCCCTGCTTGCTCTCTTTCTCTCTCTCTGTCAAATAAATGAATAAATAATCTTTTAAAAATTACCCATTACTAATAGAAGTTTATCAACCCCTCCTTAGTCTTTTTTTTTTTTTTTTTTTTAAGATTTTATTTATTTATTTGTTAGAGAGAGAGAGATAGAGCACGAGCAGGGAGAGTGGCAGGCAGAGGGGGAAATAGGCTCCCTGCTGAGCAAGGAGCCTGATGTGAGACTTGATCCCAGGACCCTGGGATCATGACCTGAGCTGAAGGCAGACTCTATTTTTTTTTTTTTAAGATTTTATTTATTTAAAAAAAAAAAAAAAGATTTTATTTATTTATTTGACAGAGATCACAAGTAGGCAGAGAGGCAGGCAGAGAGAGAGAGGAGGAAGCAGGCTTCCTGCTGAGCAGAGAGCCCAATGTGGGGCTCAATCCCAGGACCCTAGGATCATGACCCGAGCCAAAGGCAGAGGTTTTAACCCACTGAGCCACCCAGGCACCCCAAAAGGCAGACTCTTAACTAACTGAACTACCGAGGGGTCCCAGGCCGTCCTTAATCTTGTTTCATCTTTATTGTAACCACTTTTCTATCATCTTTCCCCCCAAATCTGAAACAATATGAGTCAAATCCCAGACATCATTGAATAGGTATTTCAGTTTTTCTGGTCCGTAAGAATGCTTTAAAAATCAGGACCACAATTTCATCATACAAAATATTAGTAATAGTAATAACAGTTTAATCAATAGTGTTTGATATATACCTTAATATGTTACTTAAACTTTGGTAAATCTTAAAGGGAAGAAAGATATTTCTTCTGAAAAGTTATTATGTCTATGTTTAAAATAATTTTATGAGGAAACCATTGAAGCAGCTCTGACATATTTTCCTTTATGCAGAAAAAAGCTGTGGTGATCCGTCACCTGTATAATGAAGATGGTGTTAACATTCCTGAAGATACGATAAGTACTGTAACAGATGTTAGTGAAACATTTGATGTGTGTAACTTAAAGACTACTGAAATAAAGATTCCTGAAGTAAAGTTCCCTGAAATCAAGTCTGAACAACAAGTAAGAATTTTGGTCTTCTTTAACAGATGCAAGGATTTCTTGCTTTGATGTACATGATTACTTCAGCATCTAAACTTTGGAATGCCTCTAACCTTTTGAGTCACGAATCATAATATAACACCTTTTACCATTATTTAAGAATAAATAAGTGTACTGTATAGGATCAACAGATACTATTTGCTGCTTATGTTTAGGGTACTGGACCAGGTGTTACAGGTAAGAATTTACTGCTTCAGGGAATTTACAGTCTGGTGAGAGACTGTAATATACTACTTTGTACAGTGAAGGTTCTCTGTTTATCTATGCCCGTCATTAATGAATGGAGAAACTAGTATACTCATGCCATTTCATTTTCCTTTTTGGGCCCTCACCGTCCCTCTCTCACTCTGAGAATACCTTTCCTATTACTTTATTGTCACAGACTCTATTATAGTGTCTAATCTGTACTTCTCCTGCTTAAACTTTTCTATCTTTCTTCTCTTTCTTATAACTTCTCTACATCACAGTATACAGTTGTCCCTTATAAAAATTAACACAGGGTCATGAAGCTTAATTCCTTTTTGTAGCAAACTGAACAGTCTCAGTGCACTGTCATTTCTTTGTCACTCTCTCTTAGCTTTGTGCTAGGGGCTATTACAAAAAAGTTCGTGACAGTTTTCTCATACCACCAGGTGTTGTTCTAAGAGCTTCATGCAAATTAATTTAATACTCACAGGAACCGCATAAAGTAGATACTGGGTTGATTTTTTGTTTGTTTGTTTGTTTGTTTTAACATATATAAGGAAATTGAGACCCCAAGGTCATACACCTCAGATGAGGTAGTTTCAGTGTCCGAGCATTCTGTCTCTCCAGATCGCACTCAATTCTCACACTATACTGCCTGTTGTAACTACTGAAATAACACAGTGCACTGAAAAATGGGATACATTGAATTTTAAGGGAATTTTAGTTGGTGTAGTATAATTTTTAATCTCTGTATTCGTTTTAGGATGTTCAAATCAATCCTGAGATTACTGTACTACAGGCTATGCTTGTTGAATGCCAAGAAAAGCTTCAGAAACTGACTTTGGTAGAGAGTAGATTAGACTCTTTGGAAGAAAAAATGAAAGGAAAAGTGATGGTAAATGAAAAAACGTGGACTAATCTTCTAAGTCGTATCACTCTTCTTGAAACAGAAATGCTTCTGTCTAAAAAGGTATTTTCTTTCCTTAACATTTCTAGGATCTCAGATACAATTAAGTTTTCATTCATTGTAAAGTGTGTATTCTTTTAGAAAAGCTAATTATGATAATATTAAGGTAGTGGATACTTAGTTGAAATGAGGTTCTGTTTAGATACAACCTATTTTGTTGCTGTTGTGGTTATTGTTTTTCTCTTTGTCAACTAAGATAACCTAGCAAAACTCTCTAGCTTCTGCTTTCAGAGCTGTTAATACTTGAACAGCTCTAAGCATTTAAAATAAGGTAAGATAATGTTTGATTTTCTTTTTAAAGATTTTATTTATTTATTTGACACACAGAGAGAGAAATTACAAGTAGGCAGAGAGGCAGGCAGAGAGAGAGGGGGGAAGCAGGCTCTCCGCCGAGCAGAGAGCCCAATGCGGGACTCGATCCCAGGACCCCGAGATCAGGACCTGAGCCGAAGGCAGAGCCTTAACCCAGTGAACCACCCAGGCGCCCTAATGTTTGATTTTTATGAGAAGCTTGAGATTGTATTCTTTAGTAGCCTAAATGGCCTATTTTTATGGGGAAAAGAAAAAATGGACAGGAAGAATTAAAATCATGACTTCCTGTTTTTATTCATTTACTCTGATCAAATTATAAATTTCATAGAAACAGTTAACCAAATTTGCCATGGTCTTATCAAATCTAAGAAATTTGTTTTTTTATTTACTTAGGATTTCAATTTCTGGTTCAGTTAAAAATGTTTAAACATTCATCATGTCATCTTTATATTTATGCTTAACAGTAAGAATATAAAACGAGTACATTTTTCTTTCCATTTTATTCTAAATACTAATCTGTATTATTCTAGAATAATGAATATATAGACTTCAGTGAAATGAATGAAGACTACGAATCTAGTAACGACATGGATATTCTGAGTCCTGGTAAGTTCTAATGTTATGGCAGTGGTATTGGTGGTATGGCAAGAAGTTTTTTTTTTGTTTTTTTTTTTTTAAGATTTTATTTTATTTTATTTGACAGATAGAGATCACAAGTAGGCAGAGAGGCAGGCAGATAGAGAGAGAGGAGGAAGCAGGCTCCCTTCCGAGCAGAGAGCCCGATGCAGGACTCGATCCCAGGACCCTGGGATCATGACCTGAGCCGAAGGCAGAGGCTTTAATCCACTGAGCCACCCAGGTGCCCCTGGCAAGAAGTTTTCAGGAGAATGATTTATATAGGTGTTTGATAATTTTTATATTCCCAAGCCTTATTTTTTAGAAACTGTGGCACCCCTAGAACAAAAACAGTATTGAACTTACAGACTACTGAAGCCAAGCATTGCTAAAAAAAGCCAGCTTACATATCTTATATGACATAGTGGTTTGGGCACTAAATTTATTAGACTACACATTTCAGATTTGGTAAAATATTTCCTCTTTGCATTTGTCATTGATTTATTCAAAAAATTCCAAAGCTTAACTGTGAGGTCCTTGAAATCAAGATCTTATCTTGTATTCTGTCTAGCAGGCAGAAAATAGGCCCGTATTTCTATCTCCAATATCTGTATATAATAGAGCTCAGTTTTTTATATAGTGAAAGAATCCTGAATGCCTACTATTTGCAAAACCTTGCCTTTTCCTGGGATGGTGACTTAGTTGGTTAAGCGGCTGCCTTCGGCTCAGGTTGTGATCCCAGGTTGCTGGGATCAAATCCTGCATGGGGTTCCTTGCTCAGCGAGGAAGGAACCCGCTTCTCCCTCTACCTGCTGCTCCTCCTGCTTGTGCTCTCTGACAAATAAATAAAATCTTAAAAAAAAAAAAGCAAAAACCTTGCCTTTTCTGACTTTGCTTTTGCTTTTTCATAGTTATAATTTTATTAATGTTATTACAGAACATAGCTTTAGCCCATTTAGTTAAAATATATACAAGTTTAAGCCGCTGTGCTATAACTTAGACTGATGGGCTAAGGGTACTGGACCAGGTGTTACGGGTAAGAATTTACTGATAGGCAGACAGGCCACATCTGAAATGAGTTATAGAATATGAACAAGGTAAATGTCTGGTCTCAAAGCTATTAATCCAAATATGATCAATTAAAATAGTCAAACTTATATGTAAATTCTTATACTTTGCACCTTACATATATATGCTACATGGAAGCAGAGTTTGATCTCAGGAGTTGAGAGCAATAATTCACCAAGCTGATTTTAGTATTAAGTTGGGAATGGTTTTGTGAAATTCCTGATTTGTTTCCCTTTTATCAGAAATAGTGTGTCCATGGCTGTAGGCATCTCTCTGTCTTGGTAAAAATCAGTGAGAAGAGGTTTTTATTATGGATTGGACTTATGTGGGGTGATTTTGGAGACAGTTTAAAGAAGCAAGGGTTCTTCTAGTTTGGGTGCTTTCAGAAAGCAGGAACAGTTTGATGACTGATAATAAGAATGAAAAAAAAAGCTGAAATTTTCAGTGGAAAAGAAGAAGCACTCATTTTAGTTGGGAGAGCATTATAGCTGGTCATTTGTGTGTTTACTTATATTCTGTCCTTGTCTATATTCATATGTGACAGCAGTCTTATTTTGTTTCATCACGGTAATGAAGTGACCTCAGATGATGTTCATTTTCTGTGAAATTTTTTATGTTTAGGAGGGGATGCAGTGATCTAGTTGTTAATTACTAGATAGGCCATGACATTGAGGCTCTTTCTGTTTTTGCTTTGGGGTTTTTTTTGTGCCTTTTTCCTCCCAAGAAAATAAAGTTATGGTATCACAAGAGTGTGGTTCCAGTATGACTAGAAAGAAGGGTACATGTGGGTATATGAAGGAAACTGAGGCAGAAGAGTAGAAAGACGAAATAATGTTTATGTGTAGATTTTTAACAAAGCTAATAATGATCAGATTTGTTTCAGGGAAGTCATCTTAAAACAGAATAGTGATTGATTACAGGAAAGTAACACTGGGAAGGAGAGTAATTTGAAGGGTCTTTCAGTTATCTTTATTTCAGAATAATGGGGGTGTCTACCAAGGCTATGATAGAATAAAGAGGAAGTAATTTATTTAGCTGTTAGAATTGATAGGCCTTGATTGCTGATAGAAGAAGTGGTGAAGGAGGGGGAAAAAGTCAAGACTGATCACTTATGTTTGACTTGTATGACTGGTTATACAAGTAACTATCAAAGTAACTAATTGTTACTTTAATAAAATAGAGGATTATTAATAAAATAATAAATATTAATTAATAATTTATAATACAATTTATTGAATTAATGATTAATATTAAATAATATGATTTAATATAATTTATTAAATTATTAATAAAATACTTAATAAAATAGAGAAAGAGAAGGCTTGGGAAAAGATAATGAGTTCACGTTTGAAAATATTAAATTGTGTATGATATACTTAAGACAAAATATCCAGAAATCAGTTGGACATAAATTTTTCCCTGATTGGGAAGTACTAGTTTATAAATTACAGGTTTCCCTGCTATCAGAAGAGCATTACTATGAAACCTTTCATAAGCCTAAATGGCATAAAGCAAAGAAACAGTTACCACTAATTTATATAAAAACTTCTTTAACCATTCCCAGATCCCAAAAATGACTTCTCTTAGACTTTTCTGATACCTAAGGACACATCTTGCTAACGGAAGCACAGTTAAATTGTGATAAAGCACAGTTGCTCACAGGAGCAGTTCAGAGCTGTGGAGGCCTGGTGCTGAGCACTGAGTGTAGCTCCCGGGGAAGCCGCTGAGTGTAGCTCCCAAGGAAGCCGCTTGGCCGGGCCACTCTCGCTGCTCAGGGTATGAGGCCTCTGTAATGACTCGGTGCAAAACAAATGCTGAACACTATTTTCATTTTTCACCTTTATTCATAAAAGTCAACATCCCATTTCTTTTGGTTAGCAAATAGATACTAATGTGGGTCTTTTGTTAAAAGTAAAGTGCATAATTCAAAAACTGACAAAGTGGGAGATACCTGTATAGTTAAATGGCAAAGGACCTAACTAGTTCTCTTAATGCAGTCAGGTCATAATTCTCCAAAGTTGGCAGTGAAAGCTTAATGGTCATGTGGAGAGAGTTGGCTAGAAAATCTAGATCTTAGAGATCCGCTTTCTTCACAGAGGTCTATTAGTGGCGACTCTGAAACTCCCCTTCAGGGCCACTACTCTCCCCTTTGCTTTCTAGCCTGAGCTTAGTTACCAGTCTTTTCTCAAATCTCCCATAGCACAGCTAAGAAACCATTACATTTGTACAAGGAAGACTCTACTAGAGGCTCAGGAACGCAATAGGAAAAATCGTCACAGAAAGTAATACACACACTTAGCTGATCTGGCTGTCACATACTGCTGGTGTTCAGTATATGCCCCTGTAATCTCTGGAATGCTGTATATGGCTCTCTGAATAGCCCCCTAGCCTGCCTAATACCAGGTTTCTCCCATCATGAGGTACACCCTTGAAGGCTAGATAGATACCTCCAAGGCTAGGCCCCAGAAAACAGAGCAGACAGAGCCATTCCTTCACCTTCTACTCTGTCTTCCCACTCTTTATTTCCTTTCCTTGGACTCAAAACCCACCTATTTTTGAACAGCTTAATTCAGAAGTGTCCTTTCAAAGGACACTTCTCTCTATTCATAGAAAATAACCCAAGATTAAGGAGTGGTAGATAGAGTTCCTACCTAGTGTCAAGTTATTACTTGAAATTACCTATTGCCAGCAGCCCCTGCTAAAAGACCTGGGGGTAGCTAATCTACCATGTGATCTTGACCCAACTGGATCAAAAGTAGACACCCAACCCAGGGAATACCAATCCAAAAGGTGTTGAGCCTGGAATGGGGTGGCCATTTTGTTGAAATTCATGTTGATAAGCAAGCAGAGGAATAGAGTAAATAAGTAATAAAAGTAGACAAAAGAGCCTTTCTCCCTTTGAGATGAAAGTAAAAGTCTAGTTGTTTCCGTCCTCAGGTGGTAATACTTTTTTCCTAATTGAGGTTGTCTGTGTAGGCTTACAATAAAACTGTCCTATGTATACTAGCTTAAATGGGTGTCTTTTTTTTTTTTTTTTGCCTTGATTTTGCAGCCATATGTATCTTGACTAAAACATAGGGCTAGATTTAATAGCAGCATGTCTTATCTATGATGTTTTATAATTGATTGAGTTGTAGGAAAACTTTACCTTCGTTTATTGAATGAATGGTATCGGCATACTGGAACTGGAAAGTTGTTCAGTTCTTTAGGAAAAAAAAAAATCTGTAAACCCCCCCCCCCCTTTATTCCTCCATGCGTATTTAGGATAGAATGTTTCTTGATTTTCAAAAAGTATAGTCAGTGTTAGTAATAGTTACCACCACTTTAAGAAAACTATATACCTGAGTCGGTAGCTTATACTTAAAAATTGTGAACTTGCCTATTTATTCAATTGATTGCTGTGATAAAGGTAATAGTACCTTTTGGTCATTTTTATTGGCCTGTTTTGAACATCTAGTTCTCTATGTCTAGGTCATTATCTTAAAAGAATAATAGAAATTTATCTGGGTCTGCACCAGTAGTCATTTCATATTAAAGTGTCTGTTTCCCTTCAATATATACATGAAATTTTTAGATATGACTCCACTGTGAAAGGAAAAGGTAACCTAAAAATGAATTTCTCCACAGATGGAAAAAGAAAAGAGGAGAGGCAAACAAGTATTCCTCTATCCTCTGGCTATAGTACAGTGTCATCAGATTCAACTCCCAGAACCTCAGCTGGTAGTTACTGTGGTTTGAAAGAGAATTCAGAGGTAAGAAAACTGGCAACTGCTTAGATGATTTCCTTTCAAGGTCAGAAGCAGCAAGCATTAGATTTAGTTGTAGATGCCATTGGCAAGAAAAAATAGTGAAACTGTAAATCTTAATCTCTCGTAAAAATTCTTTATGATAAGTAAATAGTACTTAATGCAATGTTTTAGAATGTGTTTTATATGTTCATGGTCCATCTTTGATGATGGTTTACTTTGAGAAATCGCCTAAATTTGTTGCTTTTTAAATTAAAGGAAACAACAATCCAGAAAATGGAAAGGATGAAAAAAATGTAAGTAACAGAAAGGGGCAACAGAAATTCATTTCTCTATAGGGAATTGTATAGGATTACAGTATATATGGAAAGTGCATGTGTGTTTCAAACCTTAAAGGTCTCTCAATCAGGTGTGGGATTCCCTTCAGGACTCCAGTGGGTAATAAATCCACCTACAGTTACGTGTTTGTGAGATGAGTCACTGTTTTGGTTTCCAACAAGTGATGTAAAACATTGTTCATGGAATTATTGTGGGATTAAGCAGTGCAAAGATATTTGTGGTTGAAAGTTAATCAAGGGTATTATGTACTTTTGATAACTAATGTAGCAAAATATTTAATATATGTCGGTGGTTGGTTTGGAAACATTTTAAGTATTATTAGAGTATTGCCAGTCTTTCAGACAGTTATTGATAAAGCACTACTAAAAATAATACTTGTTTCTTGTACAAATGTGAAACTACCAATGGTTATTAAAGAGCAATTAAAAGGAAATATGAAATGAACTTGTGTAAGATTATTATGAAGTCTACTACTTTAATGAACTATATCATTTTGAAATTTAATAGGTATTAAAATAACTTAGGCCTAAGAATTAAAGACTCATAATTCACTTTGCTTGCTATTTCTCCCCTCTGGCCATAGTATATACTTAATTACTGTTTTTACCTTTAAATAAGAAAAATACTAAAATTTATTTTAGGTTCAAAAGCCTAATTTCAGCCACTTAAACCTATGCCTCATTATGAATTTTTTTTTACTTAATATGATTTATTTGTTATATTGCAGGTTTGAAGAAACCGCAGAGTTACTGAAATGTCCAAATCACTAATTATAGAATTTTCTGCATCAACTTCTCTAGGACTTTGGCTACTGTACATATTGTATATTTTAAAAATTCTCTATAAATTTTAATATGCTACAATGTTTTTATGAAGAATTTGAATTCCATTTGGTATATGAGTTTTTTCAATATTGAATAAATACTTTTTATGCTATGATTACACTTCTTTACTCTGTTTTACTTTTTTAAGAAAAACTTATGTGCCAGTACATTTCTTTTAGAGAGTGAAGTCATTACAGCACTGTGTTTTTGTGTTGACATTTGTTGGCAGTGTGCTAAGTAATATGTTTTTTAAAGTACAGGCTTGTGGACCATGGTTTACATCCTGTTGGAAACATTCCAACTGGGATTTGTGTATTGTACCCAGGAGGCTCTCATGCATACCATCTTGCCATCTGTACTGACTAATATGTTGTAATGAAAAGTTTAAAATGCTCATTGACAATTAAATAAAAATACAATTTTATGCTTAATCAAAAAGCAGTAATACATTTTTAGTTAACATTGAAAAAGTGAGAGTCTGATTCTCTTTTTGTATTTGGCAACAGGTCAGAAAGTTCACCACGAAAAGTGTGTTGAGTATTTTAGTGCTCTATTCCATAACACATTTTAAGACCAGCAATACAGACACAGATGGTGGCCATCCAATATTACAAGATACACAGTATGGTTTTTTGTTTTCTTTTAAGTGATGGGAAGTTATATATTTTTCTAGAGAGAGAAAAGGTCTTAGATGAAGTTAAATCAAGAGAAAAATGAAATTCACTTTAAATTAATATATACATTACTAGACAAATGATCTTTTTAAAAATGTTATATGTAAAAAATGTAATAACGGCCCTGAGAAATTTTTAAGAAAATTGATTCCATTATTTGGAAGGAAAAAAGGAGGGTTTTTTTTCCTTTTTTATTATTATTTAGATTATCTGATTGTATTTTACTTATTTATTATCTGTTTATATTCTGTGTGTAATTTGATATTATCACATGAGACTAAACATTAAAAGTTAATATTAACATTAAATTCGCTGTAGAAATAAAGCATTTTTAGTATTCTAATGTGTTTAGTCATTAAAATTTATGAATTTTAAAAGTTAGCATACAAGCCTAAATTTAGTAGAATTTCAGCAAATATTTCTAGGATTAATAACCCCACTTAGATTTTTCCATTATAAAAAAAAATTACAGAAATCAAGATTAAAAGATTTTCTTGTAAAAGAAAAATCTGTTAACTTCTAAACTATCAGTACCAGCATGGAATTATAGCTCCACCTTGTGGTTCATATGTCAATATTTTACCTTCTATTAAAACATCTGGTTTCCTGTAAAAACTTATTTTATATTTTCTCTTTTGAAAAACTCAATTTAGGAAAGAAATATTTTAAGTTTTCTTGTGCAACACAGAAGAAGAAGTCTTCTTTTCTCTTTGTCTTTTTCTTGCCTCCCTGTCTGTTTTATATAGCAGACATACACAGTTGACCCTTCTACAACACGGGTGTGAATGGCCCAGAACTGCATAGGTCCACTTGTACATGGATTGTTTTTACAACTCAGTACTGTAAATGTATTTTCTCATCTTTATGATTCTTTTTCTTTCTTTTTTTAAAAAAGATTTTATTTATTTGAGAGAGAGAGAGAAAGCTCTGAGAGGGTGAGAGGGAGAAGCAGACTCCCTGCTAAGCAGGGAGCCTGATGAGAGACTCAATCCCAGGACCCTGGGACCATGACCAAAGCCAAAGGTGACACTTAACCAACTGAGCCACCCAGGTGCTTTCTTCCTTATGATTTTCTTAATAACATTGTTGTTGTTGTTTTCCCTAGCTTACTTCATTGTAGTAATACCATGTATGGGGTGCCTGGGTGACTCAGTCGGTTGCCTTCAGTTTAGGTCATAATCCTGGGGTCCTGGGATGGAGGCCCACATGGGGCTCCCTGCACAGTGGAGGATCTGCTTCTCCCTTTCTTTCTGCCTCCTTCTCCTGCTCATGCTCTGTGTCTCTATCTCTGTCTTTCAAATAAATAAATAAATCTTAAAAAAAAAAAAAAAAAGAATGCAGTATGTGGTACATATAACAAAAACAATGTGTTACATCAACTTTATGTCATCGGAAAAGATTCTGGTCAACAGTAGCCTATTAGTAGTTAGGTTTTTGGGGAGTCCAGAGTTAAATGCAGATTTGACTGCATGGACAGTAGGCTCCCCAACACCTGTGTTGTTCAAGGGTCAACTGTATATACAATTAGATTATTTGAAACTTCTTTAATTTGAATTTACATAGAGTATGCAAAATATAAATAGCTATTGAAAATACAGTGAAAGATGTCTTACATTATCAAGTGGAAATTTGGAATCCAACTAAAAAATATTTTTATGTAACAACTCAAAACAAAGAGGAGTAAATCAACTCTTATTAACGCTATACATCTACACTTATAAAGAATCTCAGTACTACCCTGACAACATAATCTTTGCAGAAAACAAAGCTATTTTGATTTTGTTGAAGTTATTGAAGAGTCAAATTACTTCTTAGCTCTTCTAGAAATAGAAAAGTTTTCTCTCATAATTTGGTAAGTAGCTTGTAACCTTGAACCCTTTTTGATTAACTTGAGGGCCTTGAGAAAGTGAGAGAAGAGAATCCTGGAGAGATTATTTGGAGCTACGTTATTAAAGTCTCAATTGGAATTTTCACTAACTCCATTCCCTTAATTCTCCCATAACCTGGATAAAATGTATTTATTATACTACCAACAAAAACATCTGCAGCTTGTGCTGCTCTATCTGTACTATACTTTGTGAATAGGTCTGGATAAAGATTATATAGGAACAGTTACATAAAGAATATGTTGAGGTAAAATACTAGTTAGAACAGATTAAAGAAAAGTAACATCAACAATGTGAAAATCCTGGGGGCGCCTGGGTGGCTCAGTGAGGTAAGCCTCTGCATTTGGCTCAGGTCATGGTCTCAGGGTCCTGGGATCAAGCCCCGCATCCGGCTCTCTGCTCAGCAGAGAGCCTGCTTCCCCCTCTCTCCCTGCCTGCCTCTCTGCTTACTTGTGATCTCTCTCTCTGTCAAATAAATAAATAAAACCTTAAAAAAATTTTAAACAGTGTGAAAATCGTAGACAAGAATTAATACGTTGGAAAAAGTAGCTCTCTTTTTTTTTTTATTCTAGTATTTTTAACATAATGTACGTGGACTAAATATATTCACTGAAAAATAAAACTTAAAGACTTTGGAAGAGTATTTTATAACATTCATTACATACAGCTTTAAATAATTGACAGGCACTTAGGGAAGCATTAAAAATTAAAGGACCTTGTCAATTTTACAGACTACAACACTTTTGAAACTTAAGTAACAACATTATGGATTCAATTTTTACTTTTTAACAATCCCCAGGTTCATCTGTCCTTTCTTTCAAGCTGAAAGTTGTAGAAAGGGTGAAGAGGTGGAGTAGTGTAAAACTTTAAAGTTAAACTACAAAATTAAATCTTTAATTGTAGTGTTACTTGAGTTTTAATGTTTCTAGTGAAAACTGCAAGTTTCTTATACTATTCACAGAGAGGAGGAAGCTGGAAAACCGGTACTGACAACAGTAGCACACTAAGAACCTGCAAATTTATTTGGGATGGTGGTGGTGAAAGTTTATATTAATTTTATAATGGTTTTCATTATAGCTAATAGTTGTAGGAATGGGGACTATATATCATATATGCCTTATTTTTCTCTCTGAAGCCAACTAAATCACTAATAGAAAATTGTAATTTGATTTTTGTGAAAAGGGTTTTAGATGCAAAATGCTCAACTCAACATTTCAAATTAAGAACAGAAGGCTTAAGTATCCCAAACGTGTAAATTATTTGAATTTTATATTATGGATAGGTGGTAAGAAAAAGCAGAGAATCAGTACTAATTACTCAAGAAAGTTGAACTGTGGAACTTAGAGACATGGGAAAGCTGAATGTCGTGGCCTAAGTCCTAATTTGTAGACCCAATCATTCAGTTTCCTAAAGTTGATATGTACTACTTGGACGGCAATCAATTTATGAAATCATTGGGTATAGCTCTCCAGTTTCTTTGGTGTTGAAATCCTGAAAGACATGTGCTAGAATTATAAAGACATGCACATGGATATGGACTAGAATTATTCTATACCTGTTTTTTAAATGTCTTTTGATCATCCCAATGGATGGAACCATAGGTCTCTCCATCTACTACCGCTTTTCACTTTTGTGGTGTATCAGTAAAATTTACCCGCCCAAGTTCCTTCTTTCTGGGTCCTCAGTAGACACTGTTTCTACTTCTTTAGTTATTTTGCTTGCCTCTGAAACCTAACTTCTGAGATTCTTTAAGAATGTATCCTTGTTAGGATATTTATGAAAAAGTTTTTTAAAATAAAATATTGACTGGTTAGTGATTATTATAAAAGTGTAAAACTCATTCAAATTAAAATGGTGCCATGATTGATCATTTCTAGGCACATTACTTCTGACTCACTTTCCATTTCTCTCATCCCCCACTTTGGTGAAGAAATTAGCAAAAAAAAAAAAAAAAAAAAGAAAAAGAAAAGAAATATGTATTTAATTCAGGTGGTTCGTTTTTTGATTGCTTTACAAAGTGACAGTTGCTATCAACACAATACAGAATCTCACTCAGCCAGATGACTACTCCTAATCCCACTGCAAATCCTACCCTTTATACTATTTTACCCATCAAACTCCTTTCCCATTGCCACTGCATTCCCACTTCTGTTCTTTGTTTGCACTGTTCACTGATCTCTCTGCTTATAGCCTTGCCTCCTTTAATGTAGCCACACTGCTATGAAAGTGTGTTTTTTGAAGTTTTTCTTTGATTATGCTGTGCTGCTCCTTAATATGTTCTTTAAATTTCTCTTATTCCTGCTGAGCAAATCCCAAACTTCTTACCCTGGACAGTGAAGATCTTTTTGTTTAAAGTCTCATCTACATTTCTAGAGTCATCATCTACACATCTACTGTCTGTATACATAGGACTCTTTAGCCGTGCTTTTGCACACTATTTCTTTTGTTTGTTTTGTTTTATTTTTTAAATTTTTTTTTTAAGATTTTATTTAATTATTTGGCAGACAGAGATCTCAAGTAGGCAGAGAGGCAGGTAGGGAGAGGGGTTGGGGGAAGCAGGCTCCCTGCTGAGCAGAGAACCTGATTTGGGGGGCGGGGCATGCCAGGACCCAGAGGTCATGACCTGAGCGGAAGGCAGAGACTCTAACCCACTGAGCCACCAGGCACCCTTTTTGCACACTATTTCTTTTGCAGAGAATGATTTTCCCTCCATTTGGCTTATCTTCTAAGACACTGTACCTTCCTTAAAAGGCTTTTTTCTCTGTACCTTCCTTTAAAAGCTTTTCTCAACTACAGAAGCCAAATTATATGCTCCTATCTCTTTGTGGCTTTAGTGTCATGTTTATACTTTTGATTTTTATTCCAATTCCATAGTTATTGTTTGTTTGTGACTACTCTCTATTGGCTCTGTCAGTTTTCAGGTTTTTTTCTGAAGTTTATTTCCCCCTAGTGCCTAGCATTTGAGTATTTGTTTGTTTGTTTATTCATTACAAACTAAGTGGTACTTAGTCATCATTTGTTGACTGAATGAATATCAAATTATAATGCAATTATAATCAAGGTTTGCAGATAAGTAA